AACTGGTCCTTTGACAACACAGGAGATCCAACACCAAGAACTGTGGTGGATTAAGAAGACACAACAAGAAGCTCTAGCAACTAATACGGAACAGTTTCAGAGAGATCGAGTTCAGTTTAACATTCAGAAGAATAGTGAGGGAGTACTAGAATGCAGAGGACGAATCGAAGGTCAATACCCGATCTTTCTACCGGATACAGCATCTTACACGAAAGCATTAGTATTCCAAGCCCATTTGGATACTCTTCATGGGGGAGTAACCCTTACCATGGCTAAATTACGAGAGCAGTATTGGATTCCGAGGTTAAGGCGATTGGTAAAGCTAGTTAGGAGTTCTTGTTATGGATGTGTACGGTTTCGAGCTACATCGTATTCTTCGCCACCCCCCGGACAGCTACCAACCAGTCGTACGCAAGGCGAAACTCCGTATGCAGTGGTCGGTATTGACTTTGCGGGACCGATAAAGTACAGAATCAAAGCGAACACTGATGGGAAGGCATATCTGATCCTTTATGCTTGTAGTCTGACGCGAGGAGTCTATTTGGAACTGTTACATTCCTTGGAAACGGACGAGTTCATGAGATCATTAATAAGATTCGTAGCAAGACGGGGAAGACCAAGAATTATTTACTCTGACAATGGTAGTACCTTTAAAGCGGCAGCAAAATTGATAAATCTGATCAATAAAGACGAGAAGATCAACAATTACTTGGCAAAGAACTCCATTGAATGGAAATTTAACCTAAGTAGAGCACCCTGGTGGGGTGGACAATTTGAGAGACTTGTAGGAGTTTTCAATTCGGCATTTCACAAGACAGTTGGAAACGGTACCTTGAATTTTGATGAGCTGTCTGCGATCGTATTGGATGTTGAGACGTCTATCAACGGTCGTCCGTTAGATTATGTGGAAGATGATATCCAACTCCCTCTACTCACACCCAATTCCTTTATGTTCCTTCAACCTACTCAGCCGTTAGAATTGGAGCCACATCACCTCCAGGAAACTATGTTACGAAAGCGAGCTAGATATCTGTCTAAAGTGAAGGATTCGTTATGGGCAAGATGGAGTAAAGAGTATGTACGAAGTCTGCGCGAGAAACATCGATTACTACAGCAAGATAAGAAGACCGAATCACCAGAGGTCGGCGATATTGTCATAATTAGAGGTGATGAAAAGAATCGGAATCTATGGAAACTCGGGAAAGTAGTTCGTCTTATACTCGGTCGTGATGGAGAAATTCGTGGCGCTAAGGTTCAAACGGGAAATGGAATTTTGGAGAGAACCCCTCAACACCTCTACCCTTTAGAGTTGAAATGTGATTTCAATGACTCGAAGCAACCGTTGAATCCTGATGTTGAAGAGTTTCGTCCACGACGGGGAGCAGCAATAGCAGCTGAAGAACAAATAAGAGCTATAAACATGTACAATGATGATTAGTTACTAGCAATACTTCAGTCCCCTTTAGGACATATAGCAGTTATTACAGCTATATGGGGGAGGGTGTCGGAGACTGGGAACGAACAGTGTTAATTTTGTTAAGTTAAGCACATTTTTTTGTGAGACTTGTGAGAGCGAAGTGAGATTTTATAGCGAAGCGATTTCTATTATTAAATATAACTTTTAAATTTTAATTTGTGAGTGATTTTAAGCGAAGTGACGTATTATTTGTTGGGAATCAGTTTTGGAGGCAAACTTTCCTAACACCTTGTTGCAGGATGATTCTGAAGTTGCTCCCAACATATCAGGATGCTCGACCCCTCGTAAATTGGCCACCAGACTTCTGGAGATAAGTTCGATTTCATTGATTGTAGAGGAATCTGTACAATAATACCAATGCAGTGGTATGTTTTGTTAAAGTATGCTCTATAATATTCTGATGATTGATTGTTAGTAATTAATATGATTATATAAAGATATACGAGTAGAGAAGATGACGCAGGAACATAATTCCATAGATTCCACACATATATAGGTTGTAATGATTATCCAACGATAAACCTAATATGGTAATATGAATGAAAACATAATGTAATATATCCTAAATGTATAATCATGTAATCTCTTATATATAGATGTAATTTTGTTATGTAAAGTCAGAGTGAATAAAACTGTTGAAAACTAAAGTTGTCGTGTCAGGTTGTACTTAGTTAAAGGGGTGGCAAATGGCTGCACCCCAAAATCCAACAACTTTAGCAAAATATTTATGTTTCGGATATTTCTCACAGTTTTTGTAGCCTCTTCAACTTGTATTGCTCTTTTCCATAGATTTTGTATACCTAAACTGTGTGCTTGCCGTTGTGAAAGGGTGTACCACCACAAAACAGACAAAGACAGACTACAAACTGTTGCTGCCGCGTTTATCATTTCTTTGCAACCACTTTTACAGAGTGCATGATTTTTTTGGCAATTCTCCGCTCCAGCAAATCTGTACCCACCGAGGTCCAGTCCTTCAAAATTGCTTATCTTTATTTTATGTCCTGAAATTTCTTCTGTTATAGTTTCCAGGGCACTTTTTTCTTGTCCTCTTAAAATTAAAATGCACTCTTTAGTTGATTTGCTAGGACTGGCCCCCTGATTAGAATTCTCAATAATGAGGGCCATCTAACAGAAAAAAGGCTGACATGTCTGACTGGGAGAACATTCATCGTTGTTAGAAGCACTTTTGCCAGGCAAACTACTTGGTATTTCTTCATTTGGAGTAGAAGCTGAAACTGTCATACTATGTTCTATGGTGGTCCAGAAGGGACACCACTGTCAACAGAGTGAATATCACAAACAATAGCAATTTGTAACAAACTGAATGAGACTTGCTGCAAACATATAAATAAAGCGCTGCAAATAAAATATAAAACACGCTGCAAACAAAATATAGAACACGCTGCAAACAGAATATAGAACGCGCTGCAAACAAAATATAGAACACACTGCAAACAAAATATAGAATGTGCTGCAAACAAAATATAAAACACACTGCAAACAAAATATAGAACGCGCTGCAAACAAAATATAGAACGTGCTGCAAACAAAATATAAAACACACTGCAAACAAAATATAGAACGCGCTGCAAACAAAATATAGAACGCGCTGCAAACAAAATATAAAGCACACTGCAAACAAAAGCTTAAAACCGTGCGCGCACATACTAATTATATTCACATAATTTTGCGGGGTTTCCCAAATCAAAGATGGCGTCTGACCAAATCTAACTTTGTAAGAAACGAAATACGAGAGGCCGTTCGCGAAGAGGGTTTCGTGTTTGCTTGGCAGTACATCAGCAAAGTCTGGCTCTACTGCGACTGGTAATGAATCGATCCGTGAAAGCAATAAAAAAAGGAAAGTAAAAAGGGAAACTAAAAAGGCTTATGCTTTATATCGACCACTATAAATGTCGAAATTAAAGTTGGCATTTATTGCTGCCCAAACAGATGGGGTTGTAAAGGTTCGTCGCAGTATTAGAGTGTATGTTATAAACATGAAGTTCATCTGCCGCTAGCCTGCGTAGCAGGCAGTATTCACGGGCACAAGAGAATGGGAAGCTTGAAATACCGCCTGCCCAAAAAGGCAAAAACCACACATTCTGAGTTCTCCCCGGCAGCTGGGTGCCGGAGCATTCTGATTGGTAGCCTGCATAGCAGGCGGTATCTGATTGGTCAGAATGTTGATTTTGAATTTTTGATTGACAGGAGTACAGAATTAGAATAATTAGTGCTAATTTTAGAAGTTACTGTTGCCGTATTTATAATATAAACTATTGTTATTTTCGTAACTGATACCGATATATCGAGCGATGGCATACACTAACCAAAAGATAACGAATGTATTAATTGAGAATTAAGCGTTGAATTCTTTAATCTTTATCTGGAATTGGAAATCAGTTCGTCTTGAAGAATGAACAACGAATATCAATCCAACATTTGTTGCTTGAAGATGTGATACCGTGATAAAAGTGCAGATTTGAAGATACAGGCTCGTAAATGACACTCTAAGTCGTGTTTTTGATAGTGATTGGAACAAGCCTATTACAAAGTTACGTCTCAAGGGGCCGAAGTTGTGTTCGGCAAAAGGTATGGCTAGTCTATATTTTTGTTCAGACAATTGCATAATTCGATAATACACGAACTCGCTTGACTTTCAAAGCTCGTAAATCGCTATAATGTTGACATTGACTAAAACTATCGCTATGGGCCTATGAATGATGACATATTGTTACAACTGAATCGAACGTGGTATTTTTGTCTTCATAGCATTGAATGAACCGAAGATATGAAACGTCAAAGCCGTATATTTGCACTGGTGTACGTGAGAGAACTCAATACGCGAGTTTAACAAATAATTAAAATATATAAAATACATTAAGATGGGCGGGACCATGCGGTGGGCGGAACTCATAATGTGTAGTTTTTGGGCAGGCGGTATTTCTAGCTTCTACCGCCTGCTACGCAGGTTAATCTGCCACAAAAGGAGAGATTACCCAGAAAGCAATAGAAAAACACAGGAGTTTTGGTCAGACTTTTGATGAAACTGTTGCTTGGGTTCGACTGTATTATACCCCGATTTCCGAGAAATCCAATGGAATCCAGGAACTAGACTGTCTAGGTAGCCCTTCATATTATTACTAAAATCACTAAACTGGCCACATCCCACTAAGAATTTCAAACGGGGAAAGACGTTTGATAATTCCAAATTCAATTTTCGTTCAATCATGTGATCAAATTGTTTCATCATTTTGGTCACATGACTTCACGATTTGGACAGTGCTAATTATTCCCAGTCAACTTCGAAACAGCTCAGTATATTACAAGATGGAGATCATGTTTTCGCTAAAAGGGAGATCATATTATAAGATAGATACTAGATAGATTGTTCATTACGATTATGGAACTTTAAAATGAACATAAAACGAATATTTCATATATTCTGTTGCATTGACCTTCGTTTGGATGTTTGTGACCTTGTCTATGACCTTGTTTACGTTTGAATAACTTGACTGTTGAGTAACGAATTTCTGACATTTAATTCAAAACTATGCACCTGATTGGATAATAAAATTAGAAACCCATATACAAAAATAAATTGATAACAAAATCTTGAAGTCATGTGACCAAAATGATGAAACAATTTGATCACATGATTGAACGAAAATTGAATTTGGAATTATCAAACATCTTTCCCCGTTTATCAAACGTCTGAAATTCTTAGCGGGATGTGGCCAGTTTAGTGATTTTAGTAATATTCAATTACAAACAGACAATTGGTAAGGACTATAAACGACTTACTTTTTATCTGATCTCATTGGATCATGTAATGGAAAATTCAGATGAAAGTGGTAACAAATCTTCAAAATTGAACTCACTCATGCCAGTGCCCGATATTTGTTAATATACCCTTAATCGGGTTCTTGCAAATAGCTCAAGCTCAACAAGGTGCTTGAACATCACATGCATTATCAGGTGAGATTATGCTTATTATTAAACCCATTAAAGCGCCAGACTCTCCCCTTGACAAGTAAAATTGGTTTGGCATTGGACAGTGTAAAAGAATAAAGTAGGGTGCATTGCTGCTTAATGGGTTAATAAAGAGGGAAACCTCTCAGGTTTTCACCTTAAAATTGTACAAATATGATCACATTGCAGAGCATACTGCCATTCTCAGTAACTGAAAAAAATTTAAAAGAAAACCATCACAAAATAAATAGAGACTGGATATATTTAAATGAGGTTTACAAAAGAAAGACTTCCTTGAAAGAGATTGTACTTGAAAGAGGGGTGGCCAATACACTAGTTTTACTCACTGTACCTCGTGAGTTGGCAAAGTCCTTGTACCACTCTAACCCAGGTATGGTACCTAAAGGCCTTGGTTCAGGTATTTAGTATTGCTATGATTATTAATAGCACCAATTTTGACTGTGTATCAGTGTGGTAGTGTCTAATATATATGTACATGTGTACAGTTATTCACTGGCAAGACCAAAATGGTAACTAACATATTTTTAAGAACAATATGTATGTTAGACAACAGTATATTTAGTAAAATTACATAGTTTGACAATGTACGTAATATTAATGGGGGGCTTAATAGAGAGGAGGCCGGGCTAAATAAATTTCTTCATCTCAAAAAGGGAGAACTTTTTGTATCTGCGAAGCAGATATATATGCTATCACAAACGTGACTGTACCGTATGTTAACAGATAGCCATTCAGCGACGAGCTTATATAATTCAGCCAATTTAGGCCAATTTAAGCCAATCAGCGATCAGTTTACATCAATTGTTTACATCCTGCCCGCATCTAACCTGCGAACGGGCGGCATTTGGCCTCGTGTTATTCTTTGCATTTTCACATTTTGGCTTCGAAAATATCTTGATTTTGGGTTTTTTACGTGCCATTCTACTTGCGATATTATTCCGAAGTTACCTATCAAC